CATGAAACTAAACGTCACTAGATTTTGTGGTTTTGTACCTGTTGGGCTCATCTGCAGGTGGGTCCAAGGTGACTGATGAGGTATATATGGAGGTGGTGGTAGGAGGTGAAGAGCCAGTAACTCACGACCGCTCGTATGACAGCGTGTCTCTAAGAAAGGACTTCATGCCTGTGGCCTGGGCAGCTGCTTATGGTCAGCACCCTTGTCTATTAAATTGCTTTTAAAACAACACTGGAAGCCTGTGCATCCGCCACGTCTCTGAGTGTGTTGGTTTTAAGCTTTACAGGTGCTGCTCTTGTATATTTTTGTGTTTTACAAACATTCTGTCACTCTTACAGGTGCAGAAGACAGTGAAAGTTGTGAAAACCGCAACGGTGCAGCCAGTGCTCTCCTGCACATCGATGAATCGGACGGGGTCGACGAAATCAATAGACAACGCAACAAGAAGCAGAGACGGTCGGAGCCTCGTCAGGTCCAGACAGGTAAGAGCCTCGCATAGGATATGGAAGTTGCCTCCACAGGCCAGTTTAGCATGTAAATATTAATTCTCTGATCACAGCATACTTAAGACCTTTAACTGCTACAGTGATGCGGTGCCATGCTCAGCAGTGACGGACAGGATGCATTTAAGAGGAAAACACAAGGGCACTATAATCATTGTGAACAGGTTTATAATATTTTTATATAATTGATTAATAATAATTACTCAATTCATGAAATCATTGTCCAAAATGATTTTTCCTGTATAAGAAAAACAAAACAATTCACCACACACAGGATTTATTAATACAAGGAAAAAAACCTCAAAGCGATAGTCTTCCATTCATTGTACGTACAGTGTAAGGATTTATCAAGGTTGCAGTGTATGAGCACATCATGTTAACCTTGTTTCTCTCCAGCTTCTCTGTGCCTTAAAGCAGCAGTTGATCTTTGTTTGTATCCTATACAAAGTCAACTCATCTCACCAGTTAAATGCTTTCAATGTGAAGCTGTAGCAGAAGGAAATGTATGAGTTGTATAAACAGCAATCGAATATGGCATTTTATTTACATTAATGTTGCTGCAGACACCTCTTGAAATTGGGGTTATTAGTAAAGGATTTAGAATAAACATACTTATTTAGAAATTAAAGAATGGAAGAATTTTAATACTGTTATAAGCTACATGACAAAATGTTTACTGTACAGAATTATGACCATGTAGTCACTTGCCTCTCCCTCTTGTCATTGTTCTCTCCAGCCATCATCATCGGTCCATACGGTCAGCCTCTGACAGTTTACCCCTGCATGCTTTGTGGTAAGAAGTTCAAGTCACGAGGCTTCCTAAAACGCCACACCAAGAATCATCACCAGGAAGTTTTGACCAGGAAAAAGTACCAGTGTACAGACTGTGACTTCACCACTAACAAGAAAGCCAGCCTTCACAACCACATGGAGGTGCACGCCCTGAGCAGCAAGGCTCCTTTCGAGTGTGAAATGTGTGGCAAGGAGTTCCACCAGCAGGCGGCACTATTCTCTCACAGACTGCAGCACCACCACAGAGAGCCCAAGAGTCAGCCACCTCCACCTCCCACTAAGATGCATAAATGCAAGTTCTGTGACTATGAAACTGCTGAGCAAGGACTACTCAATCGGCACTTGTTGGCTGTTCACAGTAAAAGTTTCCCTCACATCTGTGTGGAATGTGGAAAGGGCTTTCGACACCCCTCAGAATTGAAGAAACACATGCGCACGCACACTGGCGAGAAGCCTTACTCCTGCCTGTACTGTGACTACAAGTCGGCTGATTCCTCCAATCTCAAGACACACATCAAAACTAAGCATAGCAAGGAGATGCCATACAAATGTGAGCGCTGTTTCCAGACCTTTGCTGAGGAAGAGGAGTTAATGCAGCATGGACTAACACACGAGGAGAATAAGACCCACCATTGTGCCCACTGTGATCACAAAAGTTCCAACTCCAGTGACCTGAAACGCCATATCATATCTGTTCACACCAAGGACTATCCACACAAATGTGCTGTCTGTGGGAAAGGCTTTCACCGACCATCTGAACTGAAGAAGCACTCAGTAGCTCACCGCACCAAGAAACTCCACCAGTGCCGGCATTGCAACTTTAAAATTGCAGACCCTTTTGTTCTCAGTCGCCATATCTTGTCTGTCCACACAAAGGAGCAACAGGCCTCTCCTGAAAAGAGTGAGGGTAAGAGGACAGAGACGCACACTCCTGTTGTGTCTCCTAAAAAGTCTGCACCTAGCAGCTCAAGTGGCCCCAGCCCTGCTACTAGAGTCAGTGCAGCCAGTTTAGCCAGCAGTGTGACTGTAGTTATTGGCAAAGGTCAGAAGGAAAGGAGAATTTACCAGTGCCAGTACTGTGACTACAGCACCGGGGACGCCTCGGGTTTCAAGCGACACGTGATTTCCATTCACACGAAAGACTATCCACACCGCTGTGAGATCTGCTCGAAAGGCTTCCGACGACCATCGGAGAAGAACCAGCATATCATGCGCCACCACAAGGACGTAGTGAAGGCAGAGTGACTCTGACCGAGCCAAATACTGTGCCACAAAACAGAACAATGTTGAAGCAACTATCACACCCCAATCACTGCACCCTCAGCACAACACCTTTCACATTGAAATAATGTGTATGTGTGTGCTGCACTTAGTCCGCTCTGTTGTTTTGCTCCTTTCTGATCCTCAGCCTAATGTTTGTTCAGAGATGTATACACATGTACATAACATTAATGCTCAGTCAGAGGTAGCAAAAGAACCCCTCTGTAGACTTGCACTTTTAACTGCATGTCCCTTTGCCGGTGACAGTGTGCATGGCAGATTGTGCAAATGTCTCTGTAGATACACATTATGATTTTTGCAGGCAGCAATCAGTTCTCAGTCACAATGGTCCTAATTATTTGTCTCAAAACAGAAGTGTAGTTTGCGTCATTAAAAAAAAAAAGTACTAAACACAGCAGTAAGGATTAGCAACCTGTTCACAGTAGCACTTGCCATCTTGGTAAAGATCATTTATAAATGCAGTAATCAAGTCATGTATGTAACTATGAGTGTGTGTGTGTGCGCGAGAGAGTGTGAGTGACAAAAAACATCTGTTGTTCTTCCGGTGCTCAGACCCCACCACCCTGTAACATAATGCTTTTTGTTGTGTTAACAAAAACACATGGCCGGCTGTATTCAGCACCCAGGGAAAAGAAACAATCGTTTTTATTTTCGTCAAGAGCAGTCACAAAATACAGAGCGAAGTAGTGGATGCTTTATGGTGTGTTGCTAATGCACCTGTATCGTGATCCGATCACTAACTAGATTATCACACACTTGTTGGTTGTTTCTCTTTTTAAGACAGTAGTCATACTGTAGGTTGTTCCCAACAAGTGCCCAAAGCAGCAGAGGAAGCACTGACTGAGATGTTGCCTGGAGACAGAAATCCTATTCATTTGAAAAAAAAAAAATTGTGATGAAAAATGTTAGTTTCAATATTACTGATGACGAGCTGTTCCAACGGAAGGGTTCTTTTATCTATGAACAAACTTGTTTGAATTGATTATATCTATTAACTCACTGAAAAAAAGCATAATCTATAAGCATCAGTATGATCCAATATTAGACTTGATTAATGGAATTTGGCATCAGTGTCCTGGCCTCAATAGGAATCATACAGCATATCTGGTGCTTGTGTTATGAAACCATGAACTGAACTTTCTTTTCGCCAACACAGATGTACTTTTGCCGGTAGAAAGGGAAAACGTACGTAATTTTTCTTTTTAAGGTGCAACTTCAGAAGACAGGTGCTGGTGGTCTACTTGTACAATGGCTTTTTAAATATTTTTGTTATCACCTGTGACCATTTCTGTTTTTATATTTATTTCATTTACAAGTTGTTGTATAGTTAAGTGTAACTAGACTTCTATGGGACGTAAATTATTGTTTTGTATACAAATCTGTACAAAACGTGTAGATGTAAACACTTGATAAAAACAAAATCTGAACCGTGTTGTTATGGATGTACTTCAACGTATTTGTTAAAAAAAGTTAATAAAAGCAAAGTATTTTAGCCCTTTGTCTTTTATTTGCTCACTTTAGGTCCAACTTAGATTCAGTCAGATTTTTAAAGGTGCCCTGTGGACATCTGAAAAAAAGTGTTACCAAAACCCTGTGTGGCCGTTAGTTGAAATAAACTTACTTCTTCATAGAACATTTGCAAAGCCAAGTTTTTTAAGTTTGGAACATGTAATATTTCCAGTGTTCTTATGACTCGACCTTGTTGGAGCCTCACTCCATCTCTGTGCATTACTGTTTCCTGTTCATCAGTGGAATAGCATTAGAATAGAGTATAAAACCACTGTGAATGGGTATCATGATGTGCATGCATATTTGTCTTTGTGACATAACAAAATGGCCAACCACACATGGAAAAAAAACCTTTCCACAGCACAAGTTGAGGACAAAAACCCCACAGGGAACCATTAGTATTTATAAGCATGGTTTGTGATATACGCTTTGCTTCATTATCCAACTTGCAGCCAAGTGTGATGTGGAAACTTTAAGCCTCCAGTGCACACATACTGAGGACTAATGGACTTTTCAGAGATGTAGGCCAGTGCTTCTCAAATGGGGGTCTGCAGAGCGCAGGGGGTCTGTGAAAAGTTTCCATAGTTTTTTGAATTCTTTGTTGGAGGAAACATTTTGAAAAGCAGAAACATGCTATTCAAAATGTTTCCAACGGAGATTCAAGAGGGGATCCTTGACTGAAAAACCCTCTGATGCAGGCGACAACTCCAGTGGTGTAATCTTTAAAGGTACAGTGTGTAGAATTTTGTGATATCTAGTGTTGAAATTGCATGTTGCAGCTGAACACCCCTTACCTCACCCTCTCCTTCCAAACATGAAAAAGAACCTGTGGTAGCCTTTGTTTTGTCAAGAAAACAAAGGCAACAAACTATCAAATACAATTAAAAGCAGAGCATTTTTTAGTTTTTCATCAGGTTTACTCACTTCTTAATACATTTTAAAGAGCAAATTTAATCAACTGGAAAAAATATTTGGTCAAAACCTTTGGCATTGACTTTGATTGATTATAGTATTCACAACAATGGTAAACGTCTTCAGCATCGCTGACATACGATGACCGAGGCAGAGAGCTAAGCCGGTGGACACTCCCCTAAAGAAAGAAAGAAAAAATAAAAGAGTTCATTTGAATAGTGCTTAAGATCAGTCTTGTTTATAGATTATTTTATATCAAATGTCTCCATTAACTTTAAGTACCGTTTCTTGGCAGGAAAGCAACGTTTCCAGGCAGGATGCCGGTCTCCAAGGAGAACTGCCTGAACTTCTCAAGCAGATCTGGGCTGAGGTCAACTCCACGACCTGTCAAAACAGTGTTGTATTGATTTACATGCTGTGCTGAGCTGCTGCACACACTTACATTGACTGGCCAGACTGTGGCATCAGGGCAGATGCTGATAACTTTACCATATAGCTTGTTGACAATGGTGATATCGCTTCCCTTGGTCTTGATGGTATGAGTCAGAGCGTACTCGTCGTACTTGACATCAACCATACGCATGTCGTTGTCATTCTCCCAGCCTGACAGAGGGGAGGAATATACATGATGTAAACCAGAAGATTGGGAATGGTTTAATTGTGACTGTTGCCTGCCTCTTTGTGTTTGTGTTCACTCACTCTCACTGGTGTATCTGAACCTTCCAGGCACGTCAGTCCTTTTCGCCAGGCCGCTCATTCTCCAACAAGAGCCATCGGGGCTGCAATGACACCATTAAAACATGATCAGCGGTTTCATCACTGATCTTTGTTTTCTTTCTTCCTCCCTGTCCGTCGTCTTGCACTCACGTGAGACTGGCGTAGGACATGTCCAGGTCCCCATCGGCAGTAGGGGTGAACACGGCTGTTCCCATCTTCATGCTGGCTCTGCGGACGGTAAACCACTGGGCATTGGTGGCAAATCCAATCAGGTACCACTTTCCTGCCATCTGTGGTCACACATAAGGCAGACATAGCAGAAATAAAACAGAACAAGACATATATACATAAGACATTTAACACATTAACACTCACTGTGGCCTTCGTTTGAAGAGGCTAGAGACCATAGCTTAAAACAGTCACTTTAGTCGGTTTACCATCCTCGGTTCCAAACTGTCACCCTGCTCCCGTTTACTCTATATTAGCAATAGAAACATTCACCCAGACTCACTTATGCATTAAATTCCATTTAAAATGTATTTTGAAGCAAGGCTAAGAATGTGGTGGTAGGTTTAGAAAAGTAAATTCCTCACATCTTGGTTTTTTCCACAAATCCTAGTCATTACAAGAATGATGCTACACAACTCATTCAAGTACATAGTTGTTGAATGTAAAAAAAAATAGCCAGGAAATTTTCACATCTTTACAACATCAATCAAAGTTAAATTAGAATGGTGCTCTGTAGAGTTTATACCACTGCCACCGCAGTAGATCTGGATTTTTAATTCAATAAATATAAACTTTTAATTATTTCTATTTCCATGACCCATATTTATTTATATGACTTAGTATTTTTACAAACTGACAGGAGTGAAAACATAACCTCCTTGTTGGAGGTTGGAGATTTTATTTATAGAAGCAAATTCAATGCTTATCATTAAATAACTTAATGTGACACCCGCTTCCTAAAGGAGGCTACGAAAGCCTTTGCCAGATACTCAGGCTGCAGTTGTGAGAAGCAAAATGAATTATATACATGCACAGTGAAACTACATATGACTATGTTTACTCAGTTATGTGTCTTACCCCCTGCAGATTGAAGTCTGCCTGTGGCATGATCTCAGAGGAAACCGCCAGGAAGCAGAGCACAGTGCCCAGCACAGTCAGCAGGGAAGTCATCGTCACAGAGGAGCAGAGTCGGCTGCAGCAGTGATGATGGAGGAGAGAGCGGGTGAAGATCTGGAGGCTTGTTGCTGAGGTTCTGCACAACGACCCTTTATATAGTAGAGCACGAGATACCCCTTTCCCTCCCAGTGAGCGCGCACACAATCGCACACGCACACATACATAAAGACCCTGGAGCTGGGATGGGTTCAAACAAGCTTCAGAGAAACCCACTAACAGTTCCACAGCCACAAGCTAAGCTTTTTAGTCCTGCCAGGGCAGAATGAAATCAATCATGTGAGAGGGTGATTTCGTGACAGTCGACAACCGGCAGGAGAAACTTGCCAAGAGTCTACATACACTCAACAACAGTGGATAGATATTATATCCTGTCTGTCATGCAGTTTGAATTGGAAAGCACAGTATTTGATAATGGCATTTCATTACGCAGCTTCCCACGCGTAGCAAAAGCTTAAACAGAACAGGAATCTAAACAGGAACAAAGCTTCCGCTGCCCTCCAGTATTTTCTGTGGCCGAGAGCACAGAATTAAATCCATCCGTCAGCAGTTGCCATAGTAAAACATGAGACAACACAAATGCACATGCAGATTGGATTCATGCAGCACCACATAATCTACGTCTCCTCTATAAGTTTAACGTCAATAAATACTTTCAACTCATCATTCAACTTGCAATTACTGGTCGGAAGGAACATGATGATTTACTCTGTATGAAGCCGTAACTAAGAGAACGAACAAAACAGCTGTTTCCAAGGTCAACAATCTCACACTCTCTCCTGGTAACTGTCACGTCACATGATTTTCATTAGCAGATGTAGCACAATTGATTCAATCAACCACAAGAATAATAATTCCAATTTTGCTGGTAAATATCATGTAAGGCTACTTTGTAGTGGTGGAGAATGTACTCAAACATTTATTTTAAGTCAAAGTACAAATAAATAGACACAAATCAGTA